AGAATTTTGCCTATTATTATTATTACTATTATTATTATTATTCACTTTCTGTTCTTTATAATATATTTGTCATTTAAAATGCTGAAAAATGACTCATGACTGCCTTCAGAAGACATAACTACACGATTGTTTGGTGTCACCAAATGCATTACTTTTGGGATCGGTTTTGACGTGCTAACTGTGTGGTGACCTTTTTGTTACAGAAGTTTATGACGAATTTAAATGAACTTCAGGAAAGAAAAAGAAAAACATAGAACTAGTTCAGATCAGTTTCGTAGCAATGTTTTCCTGTACTTGTTATTTGAGACTGTTTCCAGAAACGTTACAATAACGAATTTGAGAGGCGCCGTTTTTCAGCCCGGCAACATTTATATGTAGAAGAAACTGTTGTCGCTTCCTTTTTAAACAATTATCGTGCGAAATAAACAGTTTACTTAAAATGTCTTCAGCAACGTTCCCCAACTGTGTTGATATTGATTTTTTTCATCTTAATTCTTAAAAATGTTTGTAATCTTATAATTTGATTATTTTGTTCTTACTATTTCTTGAAAACATCATCTTACCTAGATGAGAACTATACATGCTATGACAAATATAAAAACTATTATTAGCATTGTTGTGAAACGAATAAAGATACGTACCCTCGTAATACTACAAAAGCTAGTACCAAAATTGTTTGCTATAAATTATTAAAAAGTTTTAACTTTTGAATTTTTATATTTATTATAGATTTATAAAAGTCAGTATTCTGTAACTTGTTGGGAACTGGTGTTAATGTGTGTTTTCAATTATTTTATTTCTGAAATGAGATTTAATGTTTTTTCCATGTCGACGAAACAAACGAGGTTCTCTGTCAACTGTACTCTTCATTTCCTTGTGACTTACATAGAGCACCATTACGTGCAACATTCCTTTCAAACTCTCTCCTTAATCTGATTCTTTATTACAACTTTCCTTAATTTTTGGTAGTTAGAACTTGTGAGTAATAATGAGTAAGGTATTGGTGAAAATAAGTTCTTAAAACAACATCCAAATAAAATAATCTTGGATATATACAATAGATCTATAAACTTTACTCCTTAGGTTAAATTTAAAGAATATTCTTTATTGTTATTGTTTTTGTTGTTTCTGAAACAGTACTTTCATTCTGAACTTCTTAATATTTAGAATTTACATAATATTTACCATGTTTAAGAATGCCTTTGTATATTGAAATAATTTATTTTTATAAACAAGGAAATGTCGTGGATCTTTAACGATATCGGAAACAGTTAATGATTTGTGACATTTACTAAAATACAAGCCCAATAATTTTATTCTTGTTGTTGGAATGACACAGTGTCTATTAATTGCGTAGCCTTTGACCTTGGCTATCTGATCGCTATCGTTGTTGTGACCGTCGTTCTTGCGAGCGAATTGTTTGTGTAGAGCTCCCCGACTGGCTACTGCGTTTCTTTCTCACATTTTACGGAAAGTCTTCCCGCAAATAAAAGCAAGAGCTCCCGCAGTCGGTTCGGTTTCAAGGAAAAAGTCTTCCTCACGGAATACGCACGTTCTCCACGAGCTATTTTAAGCAGAGTTTCTGTTATCTTTTTTCGAATCCACGTAAAAAAACGCAAAATGTAATAGTTTCGGAAGTGTTTAATGTATTGAAAACATAGTTTTAAATATTTGAAAAATAATTTAATCGGAATTGAAGTTTTTAATTCAATTCTGTGCAAGATAAACGAATGTCAAGAAGCTAAAAAAAGGTACCGCTAAGAGCAAAATAATAGGATTGTCATGGAAGGAAGAAGTGAGAGTTCTTACAGTGATCAAAGCATCAATGTTTCATTAATCCACGAATCTACGTTGTAACTAATGTCTATAAGCATTATTTTTTCTTGTCACTTTTTTCAATTTGGATTAATTTTTGTTTTACTTTTCTTTCATTTTTTTTATATAAAACGCTGGTTATTTAATTCTTAATTGTAATTTTACTTTCTCGCGCTTGCTAACGAAAGAAAGAAAGTATTGTAATCGTAATTGTAAAATTATGGTAATCGTCGGAAAACGGTGATTTTTGACACAAAAACTCTCGTTGCCAGACCCTGGTAAGGAAAAGGTCAATGAATCCAGTTACTAAATATAGGAAACAAATTCCTCTAACACGTGATGTAGCCAGAATCTATTTTGTGAGTTCTTGATACCGAAAAATCGATTGACGGCATTTACACATTAATATTTTATAAATTATTCAAAGCTTATTTGAAATACTGCTAGGTTTCAGGGAATATCAAATTGGTTTCAGGGAATATCACAATGACTCGGAAGCTCATTTTTGTGAATTGCGTCTTATTTTCATGCAGGTAAATCGTATTCCAACAATAAGTTTTAATTGTCAAATTCGTGTTATTCGCTTGAAAATATTTAGTTTTTGCATCAAATGTTGTACGATTTATAATGAATAGGGTTGGGCACTATTTAAATACTTGTATATAAAATATGTATTTTAAATACTTCACATAGTCGTCCACACCAGTTGAACGACTGTTTTCCTTTGCAGGTTTTATATATTCGCCATCTAGGGGTTTATTCTCTGATGACTTCTTTGAAAAATCATTCATTTTTAAAGAAATTTACTTTATTTGTGTTAGACATATTTGATTTCATTTTATATTTGAAACTGTTTATACCTATGGTTACAATACATTACAATATTTATTGTTCAGAGATTTTTATCACTGTCAATTACTAATGTACTGTAATTGATAAGATATTGTAATAAAATATATAATACAAAATTGTTATATATTTACAGTATTTTAAATTCAATGTACTTGCTTAGATTAATTCTTAAACGTTGAAAAAGTTTTAAACGTAAAAACTTTGCAAAATAACAAGTCATTATCCCGAAGGTAGACGTTCGCGCGCGTTTTAGAGAATCCGGACGAAAACTCGCAAGTCAGCAACACCGTACGCTAGGGCGCTGCATTTCTGAACGTATACGTTCGAGCGAGTTACACTTCCCTCTGTGTATTAGCAGCAATGGAAAGACCCTAATTCCTAGCAAATCTTGCATTTGATATCAAACAAATTTTCAGCAAAGCTGAATTTTGATGGATATAATAAAAATATAAATTTTGCTAGATAGATATTAGAATGTAGTCAAGTTATGAATTTTTGCAACTTTCGAAAAATCAGGGTGTTCAACGAAAATGAGACCTGCACCATTCGCATCAATGCCTTCATACTATCAAACAATAAAATTTATTAAAAAACTGAGATTTTATTTTTATTTTGAAAATGTCCGAGGGGCTTGTTGTAAAGGAAAAGGAATAGCTAAAATTCCAAATGATTAAACATTCATTCATTTTTATAATTTATTAAAAAATTGTATTGCATAACAGGTATAAAAAGTATTTCATAATGATTACTAAAGACGAGAAAGTATGTGCTGTTTTGCACAACTAGTTTAATTATAAATATTATGGTACAGAAATATAAAATATAAGTAAATGACAATAAGCGTTTAATGTAACATTATGTGTGCGTATTATAACAACAAATAACGTTATAAACCTACTTAATTTTTAAAAAAATGAGCAATAAGCGTACCACCCTGTTTCTGAACCTCATGGTGATGTCTGCTTTCACGTCGAAGCGCTCTGAGCTCATGTGTCCATGATCGCGACTAAAGGAGCTGCAAAAACCTTTGCTTGACAAAATGCACAGACGTTTTAGTAATTTGTATACTCTGATTTTCTGTCTGTTGAAAACAACAAAAGGTTTACTTCATATTTCGCAGAAGGATACCAATATTATTGTAATTGAACACGGTGCTTTTATTTCCGCGTCGTTTAAATATACCTCCAATCTTCTATTTTTCTTTAATATAGCTTTACTTTAGTTTTTGCCTCCTGTATTGTTAATTAAAGAAGCTCGTGACTCTTCTCTCCATATTCCTATACATTGCAAAGAAACGAAAGTTCAACGTTTACTTTAATAACAATACATATTTTTATTAGCCAACTGCACATCCCATTAAGGGGAAGAGCCTCCTGCTTGAGCAGGGAATGATTAATACTTCATGAAAGAAGTGATAGGATGATAATGAAGGGTGAAAGAATGGTCACATCTATGTCCGAGGCGGGATTCGAACCCGCAATTCTTCGATCCGAGATCGCCCCGACACTACTGCCTTCGTGATCTCGGCTACCCGGATTGGCAATACAATAATTAGTCATCATTAAAACTAAAATGTTATGTGACTTTAGGATGTGCACGTTCTGCTGAGAACGTGTTCAAGTGCCGTCGTTTTCTTTTTAATTTCCTTTAGTGTACAGCAGGTAAGTAATATATTCGATAGGTTCCTTTCAAATTTACCTGAAATGTTTCGGACCTCGCAAACTTTTGTAGGCTGTCCGAGTGGTAGAAATGGGCGAAATCAAAAGAGTAACCAGATAGCGATCTCGAGCGGTGCGTGGGTGTGTTCCTCGCGGCCGACCGCCCGACTGCCATGCGCGCCGGGTGGCTTACCCCCAGGCGGACGCTGCCAAGCCTCCTCTCCTCCCAGGCCCTCAGCCACGAGCGAAGGAACTGACACGAAGTAGCGCTTTCTTGGAGTCGCATGATAGCAAGTGGCGCTCATCGCACATTAATTTTTCTGAAGAATGTTTTGCCGATTGTTTCATGCCACGGATAAAGATCGTGACGACCCTAGAAAATGTGACGAGTCATGCCAATAATATTATCTTAATGTAGAAAATATTTTCCATTTGGCATGCTGTTTAATCAACTTACTAACCACGTCCCTACGCTTTTTTTCTGTAACAATTTTTACTTCACTGACAATTTTACGATTATTATAAAAGAATCGAACACTTCTCTTTTTCTAATGATGGACAAAAAACCGTGATGCGAGTCTTTTTCCTGTGAGTGTGGAGGAATGCGATGGCTCTTCTTGCGACCTGTTGCGCCGCGCGAGGCCTCGTGTTCACGCGCTGCCCCTCTGTCCGCAGACAGCGCCATGGGCTCCATGTTCCGGAGCGAGGAGATGGCACTGTGCCAACTCTTCATCCAGCCCGAGGCGGCCTACCCTTCAGTGGCGGAGCTGGGGGAATCGGGCATTGTGCAGTTCCGTGACGTAAGTACTGCCTCCGCACCGTCCTAATAGCTGTGGTGTACGGATTGACTAATGTATTGTCTCTAATGTATGCGAGTCTGTGGATTGTGTGTGTTTGTATGTAGTTGTGAGGCGTACGGATGTGGAAGTGGTGCTCAAGCGCGCATGCGATTGTTTCACTGGATGAAAGCCCGCTCCGTGACATTGGCGATTTTTTATTTTTGTTTATTTATTACTGTTTTGCTAGATTCTCATTTCTAGAGCTACTTTCCGTGAAATAAGGAAGTTAGTGTCCATGCAAATTTTTCTAGATGTAATTGTAGTTTTGATTCGAAATAAGTAATAAAATTGAGAAGAAATGAAATCGAAATTCTTAACTTAAATATCTATTACATGTTATAGTAGAGATAGAGTTCGTTGAAGTATCGACAGAACTTCTAGATCAGAAAGGAATGGGTTCATATTAAAGTACTTCGTACATTCGATCTCTGGTGTTCTGCTTTATTATCATCTATGAAGGCACAATTTCTCGATGTTACTTTCCTGCTTTAGGCGACTCTTTCCGCGACATATCTGGTTTCGCGGAACGCCTCATTACCCCCACGACATAGGATCTTTCCTCGAGCACGTTTCTTATCTCCTACGCCCTTTCGCAGAAATGAGCTTGTCATTACCTGGCCCAGATGTCCACTTTCCACGGCCTTGCTGACGCAATTTCACTTTGCTCAACGCTCCATCTTGTGGTGATCGATCAATGATCGTGTTATCTGCTTGCTTTGCCACTCGTGTAGGCTCTTCGTTGTTTTCGGTTTTTATGTATGATAATCAAAACATATTGGACGATAATCAGAACACTTATCGCCGAATGAAGAAAACTGACTGAAATGCCAGAAGCATCCACAGTTATCTCAAAGAATGAACCAGCACAAGTAATCATTTGGTATCGGTTTGATTTCTACAATTAGTTCGTAATTTTAATCAAAAGAATCCAATAATGATGTTGATTGACAATAATCGTGGTTTAAATCTCTTAAATAACTTCCCTGATCCACATAGATGAAATAATTATAATAATTTGCTTCCAGTGGAGAGAAGTTTTTGTCATTATTAAATATTGTCTGTAAAATAGGCGTGTGTGTAAGGTTAAGCACGAGACATTCTTTTATTTATATAGGTATTATTTATATAGTGATTCACTGTACCACACATTTTCATATAAACTCTATTTCCGTCAATTAATTCATTTGAAATGTTTTTTTTAAGTCTTTGCGAACTCATGGGATCGATTGATTTGAATATTACGATGAAACGAGAAACTTCAATATTTCCATTAAATTTCATTCTAAAAACATATTTTCTTTTCTTTCAAGACTGCTATTAAGCAGTACACTATGTTGACCAGACCTACAGCAACAACATAAGATCAACCCGCAAAATCTGCCGAGTCCCGAGCGAAAAGCGCGAGCCAATGTCCCCTGCTGGGTGTTCGGCCCGCGAGGAGCGCTGGGCGCTGCTTGGCTCGGCGCCTGCCGCCTGAGCGCTGTCAAACGAAGCCGCCTGGGCGGGGCGCTTTGTTTTCTCGGCCGGCGGGGGCGGGGGCGGATGTCTGCGCTGTTGGCCCACGCAGCGCCTGTAGCTCCGTCTGGCAAGGCCCGGCGTGCGCCCGCCCCGCTCCCTCGCCGCCCCCTCGCCGCCCCCTCGCCGCCCACGCGGCGTCTGTGGCGCCGCCCTCGCACGGGGAATGCTCGCCTCTTTTACACAACCGGTTCGGTATTTTCAGCCTCGAATGAACGATAACACTAAAAATAAAGTATTTAAGTAACATGGTAGTTGTTTTCACCGTTATTATTGCGTCCGCGTAGAAACTCGTGGTGCCATTAAAAAGCGACAGGATAGGGTATTTCTGGCAAGAAAAACTGGTGTTGTTATATTAAAAGTTTTACGGTTTACAAGCCGTTTATTGCCGGGGTTAAATAGATTTCTATTGTCAATATAAATTTAGTTATTCTTCTTGCACAGCCCTAGTGATTGTTTTATAGAGACTTGTCTGTCACCACAAAACCATCTACTAGCTCGGATGGAAAGGGTTTCTGAATTTCGCTTAGAGTTGTCATTTAAATCTGATGTTATTTTCCATGACGAAAAACCTTTAACAGCAAACCACTTTTCCAAGTATCAAAACTTCCAGCTTATCTTCTTCTCAGCAAGAAGCCATAAACATTGTTTTTCGATATTAAAAATTTAGAGCTTGGGCCAAGTTTTGTTCTCGTATTTCTAAAAGAACTTGTATAGGATGGTTCCAATTAAATCAACACATTTCTAAGACGGTAAGGGAAGAAGATGATATTTTTTTTGCCAGTGAACGGGGGTGGGAAGCCTCACGAGAGACTTTTCTGACATAACGCCCCCATTGATAGACGACTCATCGTGTATTGGTGTCTGTTTGGCAGGTACACGATCCCTCAGGGGCCGAACTTCATCTATAAATCTTGAAGTGACGGTCATGAGGTTTGACGTATGTATGGGAACGACACAGTCAGTGCTGAACAATAAAGACAAAAATCTCAACTCAGGGCGACAACTGAGGTCCCAGCAGTGCCTCTGACAGAGAGGTCCTATGGTTTGAATCTCAACCATGGCAGGATTTTTGACAGTAGATAGAACGAATTCAGCCGCTGTCTGGAGAATTCTAGCGGCTAGCTACTCTGATCTCTACGTTACGGCGGTTTCTCCGATCAACACCAGGCGATTGCCGGAGCAGTGTCCTAACAAACGGGTAACGAACCGCGCGCGATATTTCTTTCGTCTTCCTTGTTCCTACTCTCGCTTACACTTACACGCCCTAGACCGTCACACATGTCAGGAGGCCAGTCAGGAACTTGGCGCTTGCCCCAGATGGGGCGTTGCACCGCTGGTAGGAGATTCCCCGTTGGTAAAAATGGCCGATGTGCAGGTCAGCGCCGAATCTCTCTACCCAATGGGGAAGAACATCGCCATCTCCTATGACGCGAAACCTGCACTGCACTTACGGTGACGCGCCTGAAAACACAATATAAGCAGTCAATCAGTCCAAGAAGAGATGCGTGTCAGTCAGTGGCGAAAATGTTAAAAATAACATTTGTGTAACCCTTGTGTAACTTCGTTTATGAAAAATCGCACCACACGTTCATTGGCAAAAAGTGATCATTTTTGATTCTCCTAAATGTCGTGGAAGTTTTTAACATTTGTTCTGAACCATTTTCATGAAAACATAATTGTTTTGCATTGAGAGTACAATATATTACAGCACGTCGTCCACCATGTAGTTTAGAAACGAAGAAGTTCATTTACAGTTTTCCAATCTTTCTTTGCTGTTCGTTAGATCTCTCGTCCATCCGTGCATCTATTCGTTAAGCGTTTATCCAGGAAAGTCTTAACGACGTAGCGCAATAATGAGGGAGCAGACTCGGGCAGCAGCTGCTTCGCTCCCGCTCTCCAGGCGCCGCCCCGCGCCCTCCTGCGCCCCGTGCGCAGGTCGGGGGCTAATTTTACCAGCGGCCGCCGCACTGCACTGCCTGCGCCTGTGACTCAGAGCTCGTGACGTCAGGCGCCCAAGGGCTCGCTCCACCCCCCGCCCGCCTCCCCCG